ACTCCTTACCCGAACCTATAATTAAATCTACCTGACTGTTCCTCAGCTTAAAATGAGATCAACTATTTGACGCATCCGAAGCGAATTTGAAATTTAGCGAAGTATTTTGTAGAACGAGTTTTTGATTGAATTAACCTGACATTTTTTTCTCCCATATTCAAGAGGCCTGCAAAACAGCATCGTATGTAAATCATGCTATCTCTACCAACCAGAGTTTCTTCGGGATGACGATCACCTCGCCGCTGCTGCTCACGACATCTGCGTCATAGCAAAGTTGTATATTTCTCTAGAGGTTAGGAGACCGATCTTATGTGGTTTCGGAACTAATGTAAAGTCTAGCCACATAATTATTAATTCCGCGTCTAATGGACTATGTGCGCTGCATCAGCAGAACTTACTGCATCGGCTTGCATGAAATCGATGCACCATTTCCGCGTTGCGCCTGTACGCAACACATCGCCTAAGCTTCCGTGTTCCAATCATTACCTATAAGCCACTCCAGGTCCTAACAAAATTCAATAAACGCTCGCATTTCTTTTATACAGATACATAACCCTGTACACTTTCTTCTCATTCAATTTCTCTTAACTAAATTTCTTTGAGATGTATTCATCATATTTCGTTAAGATGACGAAAAACTGGTATTCACCAACTTAACGAAATAGGATGAATACACCATATAGGTAATTTATTGGTAATCTCAAGAATATATTATTAACGAAAACGAATTAATTTAGTCGTTTGTAATAGCAAACAACTTTGCTTAATCGACAATGCCACCACAGAAGATTATACGCTGCAATGTTATTGTTCGAGTCATGCTGAGGGTGCTGATGAGACCCAGCCGAGGCTCAAAATGCAGTTCACTTTGAATAAAAATACCTTTAGGAGGCAAGGCTTTGTGAAATTCAATAATCTACTAATAAATCCTACTCATATCATTGTGAGAAAATTCAGCTACCAGTCCTAATGAACTTGACGAAATAAAGTCAATGCTTCTCATATATGATATACTAGTAGTCTCAAAAACCTACTTATTAATGAAAATAATTTTCTTTGAACCTGAATATTCTCTACTTTTCTTTTTCGTTTGCGATATTCTTACATTAAGCCGCTTGAGACTTCATTGGAATCCAGCTTATTCTATGACTTATCAGAGCTATGTGACTTATCCATGTTGATTTGGGTTATCTTTTATTCACTTTTATACTTATTTTCCCGATTGTTTCTCTGATAAGGTATTCTTTTCTGCACCTTTATGAACCTAAATTTCTATGTTTTGTAGACAAACTATATGAGTATGTGAAGGCCAAGATGTTGTGGCCTCGGGTATGAGGTCATTATTTTCACCTTCCTATTTACCTATTGACTTTTTTCATTAGAGCCCACGCATGTTAAATATTTTCTCTTACCTCACATTTATTTATTCTCTTCAATTCGGATGTTATTCTAAATTAAGTTAAAAGCGTTGTCATAGGAAATAAAAATCTAATTATTGATTTTACATTTTTTATTTGTTAATATCACACTTCTTATGATCATACTTTTAATTATATGGGTTGTATATGTATTAGCCCAGAAGTCTTCCACTATTCCTTAATTTGATTCATCCATGACTAAGTTCCTAAATATACCCTTTGTGCAAATTTTTCCCATACCGGTCTCTTTTCCTCTTCCCTCACCTATTATTTACCTTCACTTACATTTTATGTGAAATTAGAATGGTAAGAATCGCTTTTATTTATTTTAAATAGTTACTTATGTCTCGCAAACTAATTATTGACAACTCTTATGGCTTTTTATTATCTACTTTATAGGTTCGTTAATTAATAAGGCAGAATTCGTTGGCAGTTTGAGAATTAAATTATAGAACTCGCCATGATCGGCCCAATTTTTAAAATCTATCACATATCTTCTAGATTAACCCTTACTCCTGAATATAGCCTTCTTCCTCTAATATATTTCATCCTCCCAGACATGTCCGTATTCATTGCTTATAGGTCAAAGCTTTTATCCCCAGGTTTGGCTTTCAATCCGGAATCGTATTGGTCTCAAACACTAGTTCTTACCATATTTTATCATTTTCATTTTATTTAGTTTGTTATTTTAATCTCAAAGCTTTCGCAATTTAAAAGATATATTATTTTTATCAGCTTTGAGAAATTATTGGTAAAAAGTAAACTTAGCATGACGATGAATATATAGTTTGTTTAACTTGAGGGATCTAATGCCTCTCATTCTCTATATTAGGTTTAGAATCCAGCAGTAGTGGCTCTCATCGACATGATGGACAACTCACACCTCTCGGTATTATGTCACTGAACTTGCCCCGGTGCTGGGACCTCCTCAGGCCAGTTCACTTTTATCTCTTCCACATTCCATTGGCTCTTGTTTCAAACGATATGGGTGATCTGTCGGATATTAAAAATGCCCCGACGACAGCCGTCAGCATTGCATGCAATTCAGCTTCCATACATTCCCCTTCTGATGCAGCTGACATGACTGGAAACACTCTCTCTAGCCCACTTGATGCCGAACAGGGCAAGACATACATGTCTGCAACCCATCTTCGTCGATTTCACCAACTCGACCTAACCAGTGCTCTCATCACCGGAGTTCCTGTTGACTTGCTTGCTATCGGACCCGGAATGCATTCTCTTTCTGATGACGAGGAAGATAAAAGACCAGAGGAAGAGCCAAAAACCCACTCCGTTCAGGCTGGGGCCAAAGATAGCCAAGCTATGCTTATTGGGAAAATTGCAAGCGTTGGTAGCATTGATAAAAGCTCTATGAAGCCAACTGCTAAAGCTAAGCCCATCGGGCTCAACAAGTCAAGATATTTATCGGCTTATACAAAGTTAGTTGAAGAGCATCTACCTGTCGCACTACCGCTGGAATATGTAAAGTCTTTGTGGTCTCGTGCCAGAGCCTATCGGCTCTGGCAACAGGTTATTGTGGTGAGTAGCCTTGCAAATATACATTAATATTACCCAACTCTATAATTATTCTTTAATTTTTATAATGCTTACTTGGTTTTGCGTTTGAAAAATCTCTCCTTAAATCTAGGATTTTTTCATAATTAAGAATATATCAGCCCTCCACCAAATGAATATTCTTATGATTATTTATCCCCTCCATTTGCATAAAAATGCATGCTCCATTCTTTAGCAAAACGTATTCAATTTGGCACGATCAATTTCACTCAATTTAGCCCTTGCATTCCTTATATATATATATATAATTAGATTCTTCATCGATTAGATCATCAAAAATACTTAAAATATTCAGTGCTGTGTGTAGTTTTTGTGTTTGCCGTCTGAAAGCTGTCGTGTGCTTTCTGATTTGACGTTACTTTACTTTATTGATAATATTATCTTTTAAAAGTATTTTGCTTGTTAACTACAATGCACCAAGACTAACGGATATATAATTCGTAATGTGGCATTTAAGAGGATTATTCTTTAAATATTTCTCTCACGAATTTTGTAATTACTTCTCCACAATATTAACTTTCATCTATTCTTTCCTCCAAGAAATCGCAAATGGACGAAGAAAAGTGTAGTTTTCTAGCGTCCCTGGTCAATCGTCGATTCCTTCAGTGGCTTTCAGACACCGGTAACCTCCGCCAATTGCGTCAACTAGAGCCAGAAATTACAGACTGTGATCACGGCCTAATTGCTTCAGCAT